AAAAGTACGAGTGATGGAAAGGGAAAGAGGAGTCGACAAAGCCGAGTGCAGGGATTTGGAGTTTTGTGAGACAGGTGGGGACGGGTTTGGCATCTCGGAGTTGTTCTCGTGATGCCTCCGATCCGCGGATCAACACCCGTTATTTGGATGCTAGACGGATCCGATCAAAATCCGGCCCAGTAGCATCTTCATGTATGCTATGGTAATTAGAGAGGATCTCGGTCCTACGTGGACACACCAGTATAACTACACTAAGTGAAGGTGGATTGGTTGATGAGATAATTAATTCACTAATTCTATTGAGATGCTTTGATATCATAATGTGGATTCATAGTACTTACACTAAGTGAAGGTGGAATCATAGTAATCACTCATTCCCTAATAATTACTGTATAACTACATTGAATCATTTTCTAAAACAAATATATTACTAAAAACAAAGGGGACCTTTTTGCACTGAACTTTAAGAAGCTATTTGTATAGAATAAAAATTGCAAAAAAAAGAAAAGAAAATTGGGCAAAACCAATTGTTTCATGCATATTTACTAATATCAACTCAGTAATTGTTAGATTTAAATGGTTCCATTGGTAACTTGATTCCAATCCAAGGACTTAATAGATCATACTAATTTAGATCTAAGCTTTTATTTTTTTATTTTTTTATTATAATATCTTAATTAGTCTCAAATAAAAAATAAATAAGATTCGACTTATAAAAATTTGATAGGTATATTACTATTAACTTAAATCTAAGTTATTTTGATTAGTAGTTTAAGTCAAATAAATTAATGGGTCTATTAACCCATTAGGTTCGAATTATAACATTTGATATCAAAGTTGATCTAATGTTTAAGCATAATAAAAGAGTTCGAGTAGAAAAAGATTATTCATAAATAAAGTCAACTCATTACAATTGTAAAACTATCGTTCGACTATGTTTCACAAACATAATGTTATGATTTGATTTGGACTATGTTGGATTTTAACATGAATATTTTCGAAAAAATATATAATAAAAAAAATTCGTACTTTTAAGATATTTAAAGCTCAATTTATAGATCTTCCCATTTGATAAATATGACCATTGAAAATGTTTCTAAAAACAAAAACAAGTTGTTTGTTAGTGTTTATAAACATTAAAAGAACAGATCCTTAGTTCTTTAGTACTTGCTATTCACACTGCTTGCAGCCGATAAGACTGCAACAAAAGAGCACAATAAATGTCATCGTACAAGCTCGCATGACGGGCGAGGGTCGCCCTTCTCGAAGCCGCAGTTGTCCGAACGCTGCCCGACGCCTGACTTAGTTCAACTCCCCATAAGCCTCCTATCACCATTAATGCCGCCTCAACCCTCTCTCGCTCTCGCACAGAAACAATTAGCATAGCAAGTAAAGCTCTGAGAACAGTTGTAGAAGGTCAAGGAGCAGTGACTCGTTTATTTGACGGCCTTGGCTTCTGTTGTTGGAGTTGTGTGTTTGATGATATCAACTCCCATAAAGTCATAGGCCAACCATGATGTGCTACATCATGAAAGTGGGGCTAAATCTGTGCCACGGCCAGCTGCCATGGCTTTCCAGAGCTATTTCTGCTATTGCCATGGAAACATGTTCATGGTTCTTTATAGCTCTAGTAAATGCATGCACCGTTCCATCTCTCTCTCTCTCTCTCTCTCTCTCTCTCTCTCTCTCTCTTTCTCTCTGGAGTAGTAATCTCAGAAGCAATTTTGAATGCATGTTATTGATTTTGATGTTTCTTGTGGGACTTTGTGGTGCAGCTATCACAGTGACTAAAATGACTCGGAAGAGAGAAAGCAGCTTCCTTATCGTGAAAAATCTATCTATGGCATCTCCATTCACTCTGCCCACATGAACACTGCGTCAGAAGAGCATTTATGAGAGCCCATATAAAATCCAAAGCTCATTAATTTACGTCAGTTACGAATAAGAGCTTGAGAAATATGAATCACGTGAGAAAGAGAAGAAAACAAAATGATCGCGTAGTTAGTGCTAATGAAAGCAAATGTTAGGAGAGAGTCGAGTTGACAGTGGAAGAAAATGGCAAAGCTGTTCTGAGATAAAAGAGGCTCCGACATGGATTTGCCGGGATCTAAAGTCTATGTTGGGGGTGGAAGAGATAAACCTATACTAAGTAGAAAAAGAAATCAGGCAGCTTACATTTGAACAAACAAGAAACCCAACATGGAGAAAGAAAAGCTTCGTCGACACATGTTTAGCAGGCACCCCATCGATGATTTTTGTAGGTTTCGATGACTTCTACCCCTTGAGAAAAAGAAAAGTAAACAGGTGGTGGAAATGCTTACCATCAGGCTGTCAAGCTTCAATGCAGGGCAAATGTTGGCTGAGAGGAATGAAGCCTGGTCCGAGTTCACTTAGCCTCGGCTAAGAAGGAGGTCTACTGAATCAGGAGACAGCATGTGTGCCTAAGTGACCTCGAGCCGGGCAACATTCCCCTTAACCTAACCTCGCCAAAGTGCTAATTCCTACGAACACATCAACATCGAGAAGTTCCACGGGAACGAAGCGCAGTCCTATGTCTTCACACCTTCGGTAGAAAAGATAAAGAGGCAGAAGAAGAAGAAGATATAGAGGAAAAGAGAGAGAGAGAAGGGGGATGAGGTGATGGGGAGAGTGAGAAGTGGTTGCTAGTGCTTGAATAGACGCAAATGTAAGTGCACAATTAAATAAGGTTCCCATTTGGCACGAACTGCCCAACTCACCATTAAATATCATTGCAACTGCTTCCTCTCTCTTTCTCTGTCTCTCTGTCTCCTTCTCTGAGTGAGATATAAACCAAGCCATTAAACTGTCTTTGTCTCTCTCTAAACCCCAGTTACTGAGACTATCTTTCTTCCATTTCCCAGGAGGAGGCTATGGACTCAGTTACTGTTCCCGGTTGGTGTCAACAGGTGATACCTAATATGCACGCTTTTTCCCCATAACCCGACAAGGGACTGTAGCACACATTGTTGCTTCTCAAACTCCGCAAGCCTTTCATCATTGCCTTATTATTTGTTCCTTCAACCATCCCACTCCCCATAAGTACACGTCTTTGACTGTTCCCGCTCTTCTTGGATCTTAGGCCGTGGGTTTGTTGTCTAGGGTTTAGGCTGTGAGTGCTCTTTTTCCGATAAAGAAAGAAGGGTGGGGAGTTCTGTGCTGCTTAACGACCACATCACTCGTATGATGAGACTCATCAGATCGAGTCCTGTGAATGAACCTGTCTCCTGGACTGCAGTTTGGTCAACAGGATCCACTTTCGACTGTGGGTCAAACATATACATCTTGTCTCGTGGATATAGGAGAGCAGCATTCGGCTATAGGTTGTGACACTCTTCCCCAAGCCATCCTTCGAGAATGAATGCATGAGGTCTCATCTTACAGTCTCTGTCAACGAGAAAAAGAAGAATAGGAATTAGTCCGCACCGTTGTTCTTTTTCTAATGAAGAAAAACCCGGAAAAAGTCATTTAATAGACACATAAATGTCTCAGGGCTCAAAAACATATTCACCAATAATTTGCTGACTCCGATGATACAATTTACGCAACATCAAAGAAAATCCCAGAACCACATTAAAAGGACATCCATGTTATATTAAAATGCAAGGACAAATACATTGGTTAGGAACTTTGCAAAGATAGATTCATATTAATCCCTATCTTACCACTAAAATATAAGTAAATGTACTTTGTCTTGACTCATTAGTATTAAAAGTTTCCTAAAGTCAAAGAAAAGATTAAAAAAAAACCCTAATGAACATTATTCTTGTGGCTCTCGAGCCTGTTGTTTTATAATGCCCCATTGCATGATTTCATTGTTGTAGCAGAAACTCTAGCAAGAGATTTATGATGGCATTTCATTTCATTTCTAATACCTGTACAAAGATACAAGGGATATGTTCCAAATTAATTTTCCTAAAAACATGAAACACCAGATGGATGTAGGAAGCAACAATAGCACCTTCTATACAATTCAATGCAATATGCTACAATTATCGTAACATGCTTTAAGTATACAAGGGTATGTAAAATTTGAGTGTGCTAGGGTGCATACGGAGGAGTCTTTTTTTTGTCTCAGTGCCGAAACCAAGGCGACTGCTTAAGTTGATACGGCTTGAGACATACAATGCAGCATCCAAATGGCTAGGCTTGCCTGGAATATTCCTTCATGTACAAGGGCGATATTGCTCGGAGACCACTTCATGATGGTGATTTCTTCCATATAACTGTTGGTACTCCATAACAAACAGGAGATGCTCCGATCAGCATAGGGAGTTTGCATGAATCTCGTGCTTGGCTCATGAATGATGCAATCCTGTTTCTCCTGCAACCCCGGTTGCTGCCATCAGATAAATTACGCAACTTTCCATCGTACACTTTCCTTCTAGTCTTGACAGAGGTCAAAGCCACATCGTCGTCCATGCTCATGCAACTAAACTGTTGCACTAACTGACCATCCCTAGTGGAATTGCTAAGGGCAACTAATTCTTCGTGCAACCATGACTTAAGCAATGCCTTTCCGAACCGGTCAATATCCTTGTCTGTCACATCCCAGAGGTTCGCAATGACAGAAGGCGAACCAGCAAACAAATAGGAGAGAGGAGCACCTTGAGGAGCATAACACCCTCTATGCAGAAGTGAACCGCTGCTACAACCCATAAGAAGAGTGGCTGCACAATGATGCAATTTCTGAACTTCTTTTTCTGGAATATACTGGGTACCTGCATAAAAGAAGTTTTCAGGAATTTAGTCATTAAAGTAGCCACCCCAAAAAGCTGGGGATCTGAAGGACTGTTATTGTAGTAATAGTAGTCGTTGATGTAGTCTCAAATCAACATACCACTTCCATGACCAAAGTAAAGGAACAGATCATGATTTTGCAAAGCCATAATTAGCTCTTTAGTATCAGGAAGGTTTCCAGCTTTCCCCTGTAGCAAATTTATATGACAAAATTCTTGGATTACCAAACATAAAAAATCATGTAGACAAAGTACAACATGATAAATGATTGATCCAATACATGAGAGACCATAAGAAGTTTAATGATATTTTGGCCTGAACTTCATCTTTGGTCAAAAGAACAAACACAATGCAGCGGAAAAAAGGCTCCAAACCAACAAAACAAATCCATATCTGGAAGAAGTAAATTCTGTTTTACATGTAATCTAAGTTCCACGATCATTCTAGACACAACTTAATTGAGTGCCAATTAAGCAATCCCTATTCATTTTGCTGCATCTACAAGCAATTATTTTATATGAAAAAATCAAAATATCTACATGTTTACTTCCACTCATTAAAAAAAGATGCCAAAAAAATTTAATTCAGCCACATGTATGTCTTTTGCATTCAACATAACCAAATCAAACCATTGTAGTCACTAGAGCATAACACCAATGATATGGACATCGAGGCTATCAACTTCCTTGTGCAGCTCAACTGAGCCTCAAACAGCAAAAAATTGGTTGATTGCACAACATGGGTGAATTTCACTCCATTGCACTAGAACACAGTTTTTGTAATCAGGGTATGAAACATCAATATGACCTAAACATGAAAAACTTGTTTCAATGCCAGTGCATATGGAGTTGTTCTGGCCTCAATTCCAATGTCACAAAGGTCTTATGGATCCTCGAAGGAAAGAGGCTCAATTTTACTGATCTTCTTTATTGCATAATTTATTCTAGACTTCATTAGAACAGAAATCCTTTTACAATTAGGATTTGTATTTTTTTTCTATAAAAAGAAGGCCAAGCCCAAGTTTTACGATTAAATTTTCATATATATAGTATCATTTTTTTCTCCCTATTCAAGTATTCATGCCTCTTCTCTCCTCTGTTTTTTTATGTGTGGGGACTAGAGCGAAGTCAGTAGGCATCAGAACGAATATTTGAAACTTGTGGAGAGGTTATCTCTACAATATGGGTTAAAGAAGGAACTAGAAACATGTTGATCCTGAAAAATTCCCACAGTGAGCATATTTTACATTGTGGTGAGATCAATGAGTTGACACAGATCAGGAACTTCTGTGAAACTAGCATAGACATCGCCAAGAAGAGGGTTAGTTACCAACAGTGTGAATTTGACGTTCCAGAAATGATATGCATAACAGTTAATTGTAAGAATGCATAACTATGCCACATGGATTTAAAATTTGATACAAATAATGTTTCCCAAAAGAAAAGGACAAAAAACAAATGTTTATGGCTCCCTAGAATATCAAATATAGTGACAAAAATCTGTCAAGATTACTGGAAAATAGAAAATCATTTCTATTTTTCTTTGCAGTGCAAGGTAGGGCTCAGTAGGCATTAGTTAAATTTCTGAATGAACATGTGAAATCAAAAATAGAATAAGATTTGATCAGATTACCTCCAACTCTTGGTTTCTGAACCATTGCTCAAACTCCAATTGTGTATCATTGAGATCTCCACTAGGGTTTAACAAGTAGTAAGCATTTAAAGGGTCAATAGCAGGAATGATGGTGCCAAATCCGCTGTCTCTTTTGTGATGGGAACAGCTTTTGTCAAGTGTTAAAAAGATACTGCTTACGGATGGCATGCGATAAACTTCCTGACTCCTCAATATTGGTAGGTTTTCCCATGGTAGCATCTGCAATCATTTGTCAAGTGCCATCCAGCTTAAATTATTAAAAACAAAAACTGTCATTGATAAAAGAATAAGTTTATGAAGTCATACAACGAAGTGGAGTCATGTAAAAGTTTGCTGATGGATATTACAAAAGGTGCATCAATTGTGAAACAAATAAAGTTCATGGACACTTTTAATTAGTAAAATGTACAAGTTAAAAACAAGTATAAGAAATGCTGTTATTGCAATATTTGACGATGTTGCACAGGTTTGTATCCAGCTTTTACTGGTTTAATGAACAACCTGTTGCTGAAAGTCCCAAGAGTGCTAAAAAAAGAAGCATTCCTTTTGGACAGTATCACAAACATGTCCTTTGAAGATATAAGAGGTGCTTAATCTGCAGCTCTATTCTGAAGCACAGAATTGAGCTTTCAAGATTGAAACTAGACAAGGGTCGATGCAAGAGAACATTAACTCACAGATCTCTTATGTAAGAAACAATTTTTATTTAGATGAGTCACCTGAACATCTGAATCCAGTACTATAATTACTGGCTCTCTTGCAACTTGTTCTGCATATTCAGCTAATGCTTCTTTTATTAAATCATGAATGAACTCAGTCGCAAGTCCTGTCTGTGCAACAGCAGAGAAAGCCCTAAACCTTTCCTCCCCGCAGCATGCACCCCGACCAAAATATCCCTTGTATAATAATAACTGATTGATGCACGATTCTGCATCAGCTACAGACTTCGCACCACCAATGATAGCACTGATGAGAGTATAATTTATTTCAAATTTTCCTTCAGATTTCAGAACACTGATTAATTTGTGAACCAATTTCTCAATACGGTCTGGGACTGAACGCTCACCCAAAAGCAAACAACCCCAGGGTCCCAACCATGAAATTTCCATGCTTCTGTATTAAAACATTTGTAGCAATCAGTTTCGTATAAACAATATCTATTTGGGGTGCAAAGTGTCAATGATGCAAGAAGCTTCCATGATATTATATAATTTAGTCACGCAAATAGTAAGAATTATGCTCATACTATTGCAAAAAAAAAAACACAAGGTGCAAGATAGAGATCAACAATAAAAGAAATGAAACAAATAAAAGGAGTAATTAAGAATAACTTATTCATAGTCTTACTTCAGCAATTTGTTTAGGCGGTTGTTAAGCATGGTTCTTTGAGACCACCAGCTAGCATTTTTCATCTGTATATCAGCTGCTGCAAAGGTCGTATTAGATAGTAATAAAAAGTTCTCTTCCAATAGCTGTTTATAAGATGGCAATATACAGTCTATAACAGTGTAACCCCAAGGGCAATGCCAGTGCTTGATAGATCCTGTGTCGGCATCACTGAATTTTTGGTCAGAAATATCTTCAAGTTGAACTTCTGATGAAAGGTAAAACAGAAATACTTCAGTTATATTTTCTTTTCTGGTAAGAAGTTAACATCTAATATTTTGTACATAAAGAACTAAATTACCTTCATGAAGGAGATTCACAGGTAGTAACATAACAACTGGTTGGCTGTTAGCAAGCAGTCTTGATAGAAGTATCCAAGCCGGAAAAAAAGAAGGTAGAAGTAGCATTTCACCAATGAGGTTTGCATAATCACTTCCGAGCATACTTAAACAGATGATTGGGATAGTAGGGAGACACTTGAAGAAGCCAATTACATGTTCTTCAAGATCTTCAAGTTTTTCTGGAACAAACCTACAACCAAAACAGGGATAGAAAAAGAAATATGATGTTGTAACCATGTTAGTGTTGACATGAGTTAAAGAACAGTTTGCTGGTTAAAACATTTAAACCTGAAGAATTTGGATGCATCAGCAGTGTTCTCTGTCATGCTAGCATTAGGAAAGACCTGAAAGACAAATGAGATTTCAAGTTAAACAAAAAGAAATTTTTCTCCAAGCTGAAGAATTGATTTACTTGTACAAAAAGCTGTGAAAGGGAAAAGTTAATGTCATCCTCACAATTTGATAATACCTAAAAAGTTAAGGAACCAAGATAAATGCATTCAGTAGACAGATACACCAGTAAACCATAGAGTAAAGTTCTTAAAAACTCAAGGCACATTGAAAGTACCTCTTGGAACCTAGATGCAAAGCGACACAATTTATTGAAGTATAAATGAAATATAACCAACATTAAATATTTGTAATAGCCAAAATATATATTTTGGTTCATTAGCCCAAAGATCACATAGTTATAATTGTGAAATATAATAATTTTGTGCAAAAAATAAGCAGGAAGGAAGCTTAAGAGACCATAAAACTGGTAATAAAGGAGAAATAACAAATAAAGAAATAAATACAAATATGAGGCAACAAGTTGAGATTTAAGCCCACATGATCAGTTTCTATTTCCCTTCCAATAGAGGGAAATTTTCTCATGTGGTTGTTTTTTCATCTGTCCTCAAGAAGTTCAAAATGTACTCCTTACCCATAAAACCAATACAATCGCTTGTACCACAGAGATGTCATAGCAAATAATGAAAAGAGAACTAAATATTGCAAAGGTGCACTAGGCCTTTTGATAAAAAAAAATCAGATAAGATGCATGCCTTAATAAAACTGGTGAGCTTCATAAAAGCAAGGCCCAAAAAATGTGCTTTAGTGAGACATTTGCCATTGATCCAAC